CTCCGCCTCGGTCGCCAGAGCCCTCGGCTCCACCCTGGTCCCTCGGATCCTCGGCATCCCCCTGGCTCGTTGGCTCTCCGTCTCCGCATCGGGCTCCTCCTCCACCTGCTCCGCTGCCGTTGGTCGGCCCCCTGGAGTCGGCAGCTATCCCTCCTCCATGGCTCCTCCCACCGTCGGCTCCACCGTGGGCCGCTGTTATGGCTGTGGCCTGGGTCCTGCTGAGCTCCTCCTGCTCCGGGTCCCTCATGTCTCCTCCCTGGCTCCTCCCTCCTTCGCCGCCACCCTGGTCTCTGTCTGCCGGCCTCCTCCCGGTTATCCGTCCTCTGCCGGAGCCTCCACCTATCATGTCTGCCTGTCAGCCCTTTGCCTTCCCCTGTCTCCATCCCACATCCACTCCTTTGTCGTCCTCCTAAGTCCCTCTCCGTCCCTCCCCCTGTCTCCACGGCGCAAGGATGCGCCTTCCGGGAGGGGGGCGATCTGTCACACCCCTGTGGACGGTTGTTTGTGGTTTCTCCCTCTGTGTCCTTATTTGGTTGTTCCTGTTCTAATCATTAGTTAATTATCCTCATTGTGCTCACCTGTCTGCCCCTCGTTATCTGCCCTAGATCTGTTCCTGTCTCTTGTATTCGAGTTTGTCGGTTGTTGTGAATGTTTGTGAATGTTACCCTGTGTGTTGCTGTCTACCCTGTCTGGATCTCCTGCTTGCAATTCATTAAATATCCTTTATTTCGTCATCTTCGTCGTTCTGCCTGGTCTCTAGTACACCCTGCCCGTGACAACCGCAATGATGTCACCGGAGTTACTGTGAGTGCAATTGTCATTTTTGCTTTAATGATAAATCTAAAACAAAGCTGACATATGTAAATTCGAGCTTTTTAAGCAAATATTTAGTCAACGCTCGGTCTTCTCCACTGACCAGTTCATGAGATAAAACTAAACAGGTGCATTCGTAAACTGTAAAATGTATGCAACGATGTATAAAACAAGGTGTTTTTTGAATCAGATTAAGAAGATTCAATCCTTTACATGCTTAATTTTTACATACTGATCAGACTATTTCAGGTTTCATCACTTGATACCCCTTCCAATTCGATCAAAACTGCATTCAGATTGAGCTCAGTCAGATCAATTGAGGTGTTTACATGAAGGCTTTTCAATCAGATTAAGCCATCAGTCGGATTACTATCAGATTACTTGGTTGCATGTAAACATAGCTACTGTGACACGACAGAGTTTATTTCATTATGATTTAATTGATGTCATTATGGCATGAGTCCACACCTGCCCCTAATTTAAACAAGAAAATAAACCGGTTATATAACAGATGCAGCAGTAGAACGTTCCTTTCTGTTAAGTGTTTTCATTCAGAGCTTAATCACACATCTCCATTCATTCCTATATGTGCTCATTTCTATACAGTTTGTTCAGGGAGGGTTTCTAGCATTCTCTTCACACCAACTGTTACACAATCTAGCATCCTTTCTTCAGCATGAGAACAACAACAGCCGCTCTGTGTGTGTGCGTGCGTGCGTGTGCGATGGGGGAGTGGATTTATGGGTAGATTAGAGCAAACGTGAACACGCTTTGCCAGCCGTGTATACATTCAAACGCCCGTGGGTGGCGCCAAAAGAGCAAAGAGCGCTCAGCTCTTACCTGTTGAATGCATCAAACTGTATTTGTTCATTAGATGCGATTCTAACTCGATCAATACTCATCACATTTTACGACACAATTGCTCAGTATTATGATCCACGCACGAGCAAGTAATGACACAGAGAGCAGAGCTCCGTGGGTGACACTTAGAAGGATCTGATGCTTAAAGACTTTTGAGGCCACCTTTTATTTTTTTTAACTAACAACTCAAATGAAAAACAGATAGACGTTTGCTAAAAGAAATGCTGATGGAAGCGACTCACCTCTACGCGAATCGTTTTCTCCAGAACAGTTTCAAAAACTGGGTCAAAAGGCCATCTCGTGGTCCATGCCATATGCTCTAAAACAACACATTTTATTTAGGCTATAGGTGTTTAGTGTAATTTTATGTCTACCAGTCCAGTTTCATATAGTCAACTCACAGCTCATTAAATTATAGAAACATTTGCATCATTTGGCAATTTTCGTTTGTATGTTAACATTTCTGATTTTTGGCTATTTAAGTTACTCACTTTTAGGTCAATCACTCAAATCCTCAGATCAGTGGCTCTTATCATCAGACCACGGCGGTGTTTTGAACACAAGAAAGTTCAAAGATAATTCGTGAACCGATTCAGTCAAATTCTGGTTTTGTGAACTGGTTCAAATAGTTCATTGAAAAGGTCCGACCCGATTTGTTCGACTTGCTAATAGGAGTAGGAAGCAATGAAACACAGTAAAAAATATATGGGCCATGTATATTAGGCTATTAACAATTATACTATTTTTCTAACCTAATTGTGCCTTTTTCATCAAACAGCCTGTGGCGTCCAAGAGCCCCACCTCCTCTCGCTTTGCGCGTCCGCCTGCGCGCGCTTCTAGAGGGGGTAACAGCGCGCGGTGCTGAGAAATCTCTTCACTCACTCTCTCACATGCATAGAAATGCGGGATTAACCCTGTGCGGAGAAGATCCCTGTGCCAAAACTGCGTTGATAGTCTACTTCTGAGGAAAGCGAAGGGGAAAAACCCGACTCCATACACTCTACCATGTACTGTTACATTGTTACATTATTTCCGGTAGATTACGCTATCATTCCGTAACGAATAACGAGTGTGATAAATTTTGTGAGAACCTGTACTCTCCTAAAATGAGTGTTTGAGGATTTATGGACTGAAACGGGGGAAGTTGCTGGCATTAGAACTGTTCTTGGGTTGAGAAACAACAGAAAAGACATCTCAACACCCATCATCAGCCGTAATTTCTCATTCATTAACACTTAAATGAGTGCCGACGTTATCAAACTGACGCGGAGTCATGGGCATGACGAGGAAAAATAACGCGGCCACTTATGGATTGGTTTCCAACGAAAGGATTTTATGTTTTCTTGATGTCTGGATTCTTAAAGCAGGTGTTTAGGGGTCCGTGTAACCACGAAGGAAGCGTCAGCTGTAGTTGATCCTCAGACAAGAAGCCTCATTCTCGGCAGGAAAAAGTGATCGACGAAGGTAGGCAACGAACTTTATTGACGCCACTAGAAAATGAATAAAGCTGAGGGGAATGTTCGATCTGTCGATGGGTCATATTTAAATATTCGATGCACGGCTGTATGCCGTTGCAGAAACTATAGTGATTTTGAAAGATTACGTATCGATGTCAGAGAATTGTGGCAGCCCTTGTTATTTAGAGATTCTGACCACATTTAGATTTAGACGGGGTTTATTGTGCTGCAGAATCAATCGGGCTGTTTAGGTTTACATACAAATAACCAAATGACACTTGTTTGTTGCCGCTAGTATTTAATGCGACGCGAATTCACGAATCGTTTGTATTAGTGCAGTAAACGTTTTGCAGATCTTTTGGTGCGTATTTAAGGTACCGAACATCTATCTAGTCTTACGAAAACAGCTGCGATGAAGATCGTTGACGAAAGACCAGTTGAATGTGCTGTTTGCCGTGCGCAAATCATGTATAACATTTTAACGATTATCGTTCAAATCTCGCCATCTAGCCGCACTGGGTTGGATTGTATTCCACAGGGCTGCAGATATAAAAGAAATCGCAATGGAGCGCCCACCTGGGCTGGCTGGGTCAACAGCAGGATCAATGTTTGGTCAAATCCCTGTAAGACTGATTACAGGATTCCCCCATCCACCATCTCCACCCACAACCCTGTCTGAGCTCAAAGGAAAGGATGGTGTGCATCTACAAAGTGGGGTTTATCAAAAATAAATAAATAATTAAATAAATATTTCATACCCCAAGTGAAATAATAATAATAATAATAATAATAATAATAATAATAATAATAATAATTATTATTATTATTATTATTATTATTGCTACATATATGATCACATATCAATAACAAAAAAGAAAACTAATAATGCACTTAGAAAATAAGAAATGATTCTACTCTTATTGATCTTGTGCAACGGATAAAAGTAGTGCATGGTCTTAAACAGCCATTACTGAATTCATTTGCCTGTAAAATGACCCAGCGTTTGTCCACAGGGAAAGGTATGGCTAATAATATGGGTAACTGATTTAATTGGACTGAGCTGAAATGCTAAACCTGTTGAACCTGAATGAATGCGATAACAGCTGATTTACAGCACTGCATAAAAATAAAAGGTCACAATACTTCAGGGAAAATAAAATGTCTGCATGAACTATCAGTCTCAAGAGCAGAGCGAAAATGACTTCAGAACTTGTTTAGGGTGGCTTTCATGCATGTTCATTTCTGAAATTGTTGCAGGCATCTTGTGCAGTGTAAGCAAGGCTTGAAATGTACAACTGAGGGTTCTGTCTGAAAGTGATTGTGCTGTATTTTCAACAGACCTCTGAATATTCTCAGTACTGTGTGAGATTGATACACTGGCTGAATGTGGCTGGCTCATTTAGATTGTCTAGGTGTTTACCAGCGTTCACTAGGGAAGTAATACATAGTGAACATATGCTCTGCTCTTTGCCTCTCCACAGAGTGTAACCAACTGATGTCTTTAAAACAAACCCTACAGTTAATGTTTTCATCAACATATTTTTTGGCACTTACACCTGAGTTCAGAGCTATTGTAATAACCTTTTGTTCATGAGGCAACCCCGAATAGCTAAAAATCAACAGCACTTAAATAGTTTGTTGAGTGTGTGTAAACTCTTATCAGGATGAGATGAAGTGCTTATGCCCTTGGGGTATTTGAAGAGTCTCTTATGTAAAGCGTGTTTCCATGTTTTACATTTTTAATATTATTTTTATTATGATTTGCTAAATCCATGTATGAATCTGTCAATTTATTGTGGCTGTTGAGGGAGTGAAAAAAATTATAATTATATAGCTACAACCTGTGAAAGGTTCTATGAAAAAGCAATCAAATGCCCCCCCCCCCCTCCACATTTCTTTAAACAAAATGTGTTCACTTCCCTGTGAACCGCCCCAACAAAGGCAAAATGCAATAACTACATCAATGCTAGAACTGAGGAAAAATAGCAAAGTTTTTTGATTGATTTGTTAACTGTTTTCTCTGAATCTGAGGATAGTTCAGCTAGACCTGTCTGTCAGAGGACAGATCATAGACTAAGAGACCCAATTTCGGTCATAACCCACTTTTGACTAAATGTGTAGTTATTGTGCTTTTGTCTTTGTAGGGCAGTGCAGCGTCAGTGAATTTCTATTCAGTTTGAATTGAATGGTTATACAGTAGAACTGGCTTGAAGGTTCCTTGGTTGTAGGCAGTTTTATTGCCTGCATTTTTTTATTTTTTTGGTCGCAAATCATTACATGCACTAGTCAATGACTTCGAGGAGCATACTTAAAGCCCTTAAAGGGGTCATATGATGCGATTTCAATTTTTCCTTTCTCTTTGGAGTGTTACAAGCTCTTGGTGCATAAAGAAGATCTGTAAAGTTGCAAAGACTAAAGTCTCAAATCCAAAGAGATATTCTTTATAAAAGTTAAGAGTCAACCACGCCTACCTAAAACTGCTCGTTCTAACACGCCCCCACGTCTACGTCATGATGTGGGAAGATTTGCATAACGCCGCCCAAATGTTCACGCAAAGAAAGAAGGCGTAACTTTTATTCTCACTGTAGTATTGTTGTTGCCGCCGCCGCCATGTCGTGAAGGCGCTGTGTGTTTCGTTGTGAAAGCGAAACTACTTTGTTTGGCCTTCCAAAAGAGGACGATATCTGCTTCGTCATGCCTGGAGCTGATCCGTGCTGGTCGCTGAGGAAATACATCAACTTCGCGCTGTGGATTGCCGGATCAGCTTTTACCATTATGAAACGGAGTCCAGCCCGGGGTCGTCACATGTGGTTGCTGCAAGCACGCCGGCCGCTCCTTACTCTAGCCACCGGCCTCTGCTCACTCCAGGCCACCGGCCTCCGCTCACTCTAGCCCGCCGTGTGTGACGCTGTGT